TTATTAAATATTTTAAGATTTTTAATATCAAAATATTATATTTTTTTATAAAAAAATTAAAATTAAAATATTACAGTTTTAAATAAGGTGCCATGTGAAAAAAGAATCCATGGGAAACGTGGACAAACGAGGCCCTAGGCTGGACAAATGAGGCACTAGGTCGGACAAATGTACTGCTCAAATTGGTCATCTGAGGTTGGGCTTATCCCTTTGGGATGTTTTAGTAGTGATGTCAGTTCATGGGGAGTGATTTGAACTTTGAAAAAACTATATATATATATATATATATATATTCTTTTTGTCCATTGATAAGTTTTCCCGATTGATTTATAGAAGAAAAGAAAGAAAAAGAAGAATTGGAAACTGTTCGACATCACTTGAGTTTTACTGGTGATCCAATCATAGATAGAGATTCTATTTTTTTATACTCTCCATGTGTCTCAAGTGATCAAATTTTACTATATAAAAAATAAAATGTAACGTAACACATGATTTGATTAATATTTAAATAGATGTTAATTTATTAATTATGTTTTTTTATATGTTCCAAAAAAAATTAATTATGTTTTTTTATAGTAAAAAAAAATCTATTTTTTTGAAGGACTTTTTTTTTATAATTATATGGAATATAAGTATGAATGGTTCATACTTCATGGACTTTTTGGTTGATTTTCTAAATGGGCTTCACTTTGATATTTGATAACCCATTTTAGAGTTCACTGTCTAACTTGTCTTTTAACAAGTAATCAGGTATGTTACGGGTTTGGGCTTAAATATGCAAGTACAAGATGGGCCACGGCAACACAAATTTTTTGTCTATATGTTGTCCTTCTTTTGGGCCACTGGCCAGAGTGTATATATGGCTCTCAAATATCAACATTTTTTTTTTTTTGAAAAATATCAACATTCTTTGGGGATTAAACAATTCGTGTTAAGGTTGGTAAATTAGAGTAATTAGATCCAAAACCTACAATAGCAAGGGAAGGGTTTTTTTCTCAGTACATCAAAAACTTAGTGTGAGGGTTTGAAAATTGAAATTGAAGGATTATTTTGTGTTATATAATTTTATGAATGTTTCTAATTTTGCTTCAAGGATAAGATTAAAAGTTTTTTTTTTATCATAAATGTATACAAAAAATAAAAACTAATATTAATATTTCAATATTAATATTAAGTGAATAAATTTTATTGAATAATTAATAAATTAAAAATCAAATTTTAATTTTTCAATATAAATTTATGATAAAAATAAATATTTATTATATCCTTAAAGACACAAGTTATATTTTAGCTTCAGTTCAAAAAAAAAAAAAACACAAGTTATAAAAACCTCAATTTTATTTATGTTATATTTTGTGCTATATAATTTGTCAATAATTAATTATAAATAAATATATAAAATAAAAAAATTTCCTAAAAAACTAATAATTTATTTATGTTTTATTTTGTGTTATATAATAAATACAAAAAATAAGAATTTTTTCCTAAAAAAACTTTAAAAGGTGGAAAGAGAAAGAGAGAGAGAGAGAAGTTTGGATTAAAAAAGAAACAAAAAAATCTTTTTCTTCTTCTTTTAATGCAGAAAGTGAGGCATTGAAATTGAACTTATTCTATTGCAATCCTTTAAGTTCAGTGATAATCATGTTGTCCATTGAGCAGTAAATTGAGCAGTAAGTAAAATATACGATGATCATGAGTTTAACTTTTTCAAAAGATAAATATTAATTAACTTAATTTAAAATTTCTTATTGTAAAAAAAAAAAAGTTGAACCTATTCTGTTGGGGAAAAAAAAAATTGAACCTAAATTCTTTTAGAGAGCATGAATGGTTTTTTGGTAGAAGAGAGCATGAATGTTAGGTAGAAGATTTGTGAATTTGATACTCCTAAACTCTCCATCCACCGTGTGAACTCCAAAAGTTCAACTACTTTGTACAGATCTTACATAATCAACCAAATGTTGCCTCCCTTATTTCTTAAATTATTTTCTGAAATGAGACAATAAAATAATTTCATTGATTTTTCAAATAAGATTTGAAAAAATAATTAAAATAAGTTTCCGACTAAAAAAATTTTCTTAAAAAAAAAAAAAAATCTAATTCTAACTGCCACGAGTTAGTCGTTCTAGTAGTGTTTGTTGCTTTTTGCACATGGAGAATGAGCCTCTAGTGCCATAATAATTTGCCTAATTGCCTGCACGAACTCTATATAGATTGACCACCTGCTTGCTTAGTTGCTTCTCAGTATAGTATGTGTATATCTATCTATATATATTTGCAAACTCAGATTCGAATACACACAGTAACACCTTCCAAGAATAGGCTTCTGCCATTTTGATTTCGAACATGTTCATCGTTTGTTCTTTTTAATTATAAACATCAATTCAGGCAACAAGAAAAAATATTTAGTAGGCTGTAATGGTTTGGACAGTTTGACTGTTAGTTGTAGTCTAAACTTAGCCGCTAAGTCTCTACTCGACAGTCAGAGTGCTCAAATCTTAGCAGTAGTTCTGAACAGCAGACTATTGGACCAAACCACCAAAAACATTTGGTGCTCCAAGAAATCAAATGTACTATTAACAAATTGCCATTATACTAAAATGCCCTCTTCTTCCCTTTGAAAATGTTTTTGTTTATTTTAATTTTTTTTAATCTTGATTTGCATAATAATAAATCACTCTTTTTTTATTTTTTCATTTACTTTACTAACATATTATATAACTTAAATTTAATTTAATTTTTTTTTTATTGAACTGAACTAATTACATTAATCTTTCAAAATGTTATTTTGGTATCCTGAATTCCGTTTTAGGTGGCAAAAATGGTTCTTGAATTTGACTGGTTGGTTTGGCGAAGAGTGAGCTAGTATCTCCACTCTTTATATACTATCAGATTGGATGAAAGACTTAACGGTGACCCAATTACGAAAAATGGGTTCCCAGAGAAGCCTGTTGTTGGCTCCTATTTTCTTGGTTTTGGCTTCAGTATTGTGCCTCTGTTCCACTTCCACCCTCCCTGCTGAATACTCCATAGTTGGGCATGATCTTAAGGGGTTTCTGTCTGAGGAACGGGCGATTGAGATCTTTGAGCAATGGAAAGAGAAGCATCAGAAGGTGTACAGGAACGCCGAGGAAGCCAAAATAAGGTTTGAGAACTTCAAGAGGAACTTGAAGTATGTTATTGAAAAGAATGCAAATAGAAAATCAAATACTGGACACAAAGTCGGGTTGAATCGGTTTGCGGATTTGAGCAATGAGGAGTTCAAAATGACCTACCTGTCCAAGGTGAAAAAACCGGTCAGCAAAATGTGCAGACTTCGGGAGAAGAAGATGGAGAGAAAGGTGGAGAGTTGTACTGCACCATCGTCCCTGGATTGGAGGAAATATGGAATTGTAACTGGTGTTAAGGACCAGGGTGAATGTGGTAAGTTGTTTCCTCCTCAGTCTGATTTTTGTTTTCAGACAAGACAGAGTATTGTGTGTTAATTATTTGCCATGTCCATCGCTCTGTCCATTTTAATGTTGTTTGTGTCCTGGGAAACTATATTGTCTTGTTAGTTTAATTGCTAGCAGAAAATTGTATAGACTCTATTGATAGTACCATTGCAGGAAGCTGTTGGGCATTCTCCTCGACTGGAGGCATGGAAGGAATAAATGCTTTGGTTACTGGAGAACTTATTAGCCTTTCAGAACAAGAACTTGTGGATTGTGACACTACTAATGATGGATGTGACGGAGGCTACATGGACTATGCCTTTGAATGGGTTATAAACAATGGTGGGATCGACTCAGAAGTAGATTATCCCTACACATCCGTCAATGGTGTTGGTGGTGTCTGCAACATCACTAAGGTCTGTCTGGTTCTCTAAAATTCCTTGATTTTCATAGAATTCTCCTGTTCTGTCTTTGATATCTGTTGTACTTTTGTTTGATTAGGAGGAAAGGAAAGTTGTATCGATTGATGGGTACCAAGATGTAGGGGAATCAGATGGTGCTGTATTGTGTGCTGTTGTTAAACAACCCGTTAGTGCTGGTATGGATGGTTCTGCAATTGATTTTCAGCTCTATACTTCTGTGAGTATATATATGTCTTTGTTCATTATGATTACTATTCTCAGAATCATTTAAAATAAAGAATAATTTGTAGTAAAACGAATTTATATGATGTGATATTAGGGAATTTATGATGGAACCTGCTCAGACAATCCAGATGACATTGATCACGCTGTTCTGATTGTTGGCTATGGATCAGAAGATGGTGAGGATTATTGGATAGTGAAGAATTCATGGGGAGAAAGCTGGGGAATGGAAGGATATTTTTACCTTAGAAGGAACACTGATTTACCCTATGGTGTTTGTGCAATCAATGCCATGGTCTCTTACCCCACCAAGGAATCATCTTCACCTTCCCCCTATCCATCACCAACTGGACCTCCACCACCACCATCCCCACCTTCCCCACCACCACCACCACCACCCTCACCACCTCCTCCATCCCCCTCACCAAGTGAATGTGGAGACTACTCCTATTGTCCAATTGATGAGACATGCTGTTGCATCGTGGATTTCTTAGATTACTGCCTGATATATGGCTGCTGCCCCTATGAGAATGCCGTTTGCTGCACTGGAACTGACTACTGCTGCCCAAGTGATTACCCCATCTGTGATGTCGAAGAAGGACTCTGCTTCCAGGTACTAAAACCCTCCCTCTGAGTTTGGGATACATATTTCTTTAAAGTCTAAGAATTCATTGAAGTAACCATTTTCTCTGTATTTATTTTCCAGAGTGCTGGAGATAACCTAGGAATAGCAGCAAGGAAGAGAAGGATGGCAAAGCACAAGTTTCCATGGACTAAATTTGAGCAAAGAGAGAAAACATACCAGCCTCTGCAGTGGAAGAGGAACCCCTTTGCTGCTGTAATGCGTTAGAAGTTGAATGTCCTTGTAATTTAATTGTTACGAGGCATCCTTTCATCAGTATCATCCTTGGTTTCCATATATAGAAATATATATTCCACAGAAAACTCAGGAAAAGAAGACTAAAGGAGACCATTTGTTTGTTTAGATGGGTCTGGATTTTGGAAATAGTTGTTTTTAATTATTATCAAAGTAAAAACTGTGGTTGATTAATTTCTCATGGCTAGTTGTATTGTTCTAGCCAATCTTTGGGATCCTTCTTATGTAGTAAGTACCAAGCAATATATATTTGGAGAGCGAATAAGGATTTCTCTGCAATTTCCATTTGTACTTTTCGACGCATCAATATTCATCTAATGCTTTTTTTTTTCAAAGAAAATCATGATATTTTAATAATTAAAATGTTATGATTTTTTTATAAAATTAATATTTATTAAAAATATTTTAATAATTTTATAAAAAAAAATTTAATAATAAGATGCCTTAATTTTTTCTTTTCTCTTATATTCTTCTATTTTATTAAATCTTGAATTCAACTTGGGTTGGTTGAAGGAAAGTAAAAATGTAAACGATTGCTGATAGTTCCAACTTCCAAGTATAATAAAAATCTACAGGACCACGATAAAGAGTTCTATGCAGTTTTTACCGGGCCATTAGTTCAAATAAAACGCTTGCATTTGGAATAGACTAGAAGGCTAATTTTCCTTTTTTGGCTAAAACTCTAAAAAGTAGGGGTGAGCATTTTTTAATATATATAGATTGGGTATGAGTCATATTTAGTATTTAATTTGAAAATTTTTTAATATAATTTTTTAGATTTTGTACTTAGTTAAATACTTGAAAATCTATAGTTGGAACTTAATCTAATAAGTATTAGATAATATATGGATATATATATTTATACACTTGTTAAATGATATTTTGTTTTAAATTTTTTTAAAATTAAAATTTAATAAAATATTATTTATTACAATATAAATTTAAATATAATCTAAAATAATAATAAAGACCTAAAATTTGGTTTCATATTTAGAAATCAAATCTATGTACTATTAAAAAACTAAATTTAGTTAAATAATTATATGTACCAAAAATTAAAGAATAAAAATAAATTAAATAAGAAGGAAATTCCTTCAAAGAAGATATCTAGGTTTTTGGGCTTATAATCTCTTTAATTCTGTACTTCAATTTGTTAGAAAAAGATAATGATTGATGGTATTGTATCTATTTTAACATCCTAATATCTATATTTTTTTACTTATTATTTTTATCATGTTAAATTTGGAATTTAAAGGTAAAAAACATCTATACAATAAACAAAGACCATGACTCAAAAATCACTAAACTTATATTTGGAAACTTAAATTTGTATTTGAGGGATGTTTTTTAAATATATGTTTTTAAAAAACATATAATTTTAAATACAAGTATTTTCAAATTTACTATTTAAATTAATATAACAAAAATAAATTTGATATTCAAGTTATTGATTAAGGTATTTTTACAATCACGTCCAAGACAATCCCTTTACAACTTTAGTCACAATCCCAAGCCAAATAACAACTTTCATATCATCCTATCCATTAACAAACAGGAAGTAGTAATGTCCCTAATTTGAAAATCCAGCGCCCCCACCAATAAAACAAATATAAATCTCAAGAAAAAATTTTATTTGACGTTACCATGTTCTTGACCCCAACACTAACTCCCATCTACCATATTTTCTCTCACCTACTCTTGACCCAATCAAGGGCACCCACTTCTTTGTCTCTTTCTCCAACTACTCCTTTCTTATCACCTTCTCTACCTTCACCCCCCTACACCCAATGCTAATCCATCCACACGTGTTTAATCTTCCCTTGCTAGGACACTCTAGCTACATGTGTCCACTACTCTACTTTGCTCAATATGCCTTATGAGTTATTATTTGTTGTGATGGCAGCTAATCATGTGGATTGTCACCTGCCCATTGCTGGAGTGGGGAATACTAGCGTGTTTAGCTAGAGATTCAGTTCATTGTGGGTGGCAGAAGAAAGGGTGGGGGAGGAGAAACCATCCACAATCAAGCTCTATTGGAATTAGGAGAGTTGAAATACATGAATTTAAATTTGAAATACATGTATCTCTCGTACATTGTTCCTAGGGTTGAGGATAGTGGCGGCAGGTTTTCCTCCCTAGGGTTTCTCTTCAACAAAAAAGTTCCTTTATCCCTTCTTTCTTCTTACCCCTCCCTTCCTCCTCTTGATCTCATCTCCTCCTTCATCTTGTCGTTGTTTTGCTTTGGAAACTCCAACCCAAGGGACCATAAGGCAACGACATATTTGGGTTATATAGAGTTTACATCTATTGTTTTTCAAAGGCTACGATTGGCCTTGATGTTGCTAGTGAAGTGGGTTTCTCCTATTTAATGGGCAAGAATCTCACTTTGGTGCATCTTCTCAGATGGGATCTTAGCAGGGGGGTCAAATTCAGTGAAACTGATTCACACCAATTCTCGATTAGCTAGCCGATTACAGAAGGAAAAGGATGTTGTTGGTAAGGCCGGCTATGGTCTATGTGGGAAGCCTAATATTCAAGCCGGCAAAAAGGTTTTAGTTCCCTTAATGAGTTTCAATAGCATGGGTTTGAAGAGGATCGACAAAAATGGGAACATAATTGGGAGTATATGGAGGCGACTAGGGGGCCTTGTGCTTGTCTAGAGAAGGCCCATACCTCTCTTCTTTGTTCTTCTTTAAGAACAAGTAGGGTGGCAACTTGCAAGTTGGGGACTGTTTGTTGTCGGAATCCTTTGCTCTCCTCAAAAAGCTGGTTAAATAGGCGATGATATCTAGTAGTTCTTAATGCATATAGTGACTCCCTTTTCTACATTAGTAGGCCTATTTAGTTTATACAACGATTGTAATTTTCATTTTTAGTTGTAAATGGCAATTTTCATTTTTAGTTGTAAATGGCTCTTTTTGGTTAATTGTCTACATCTGTCATAAATATAGTTTAAATCTGTTATTAATATTGTAAGTTATGTTTCTGATTTTATCTTTAGGTTATTTTACTTTTGACTATAATGCCAATAGATAGAGATTCTACTATAATTTTTTATTACTTAATATATTTCTCTATTTTTCACAAAAAAAAAAAAAATTGAAATACATGCAATTGAGAAAGGTTTTGAAATACATAGATTTTAAAACAATGAAATACATGAACTCAAATGCATGTATTTGGGTTAAATTTAATTATATATTTATTTTATAAAAACACAATAATATTGAATTTGAAGTGGCCAAATTCAATTAAATTCCCCAAAAATTACATTCCCAAACATACTATAATGAAAAATTAAACTCTAAAGTTACATGTATTCATCGTGGTTTAGGAGTGCAAGGAAGGAAAAAGTTGTTAGTTGTGAATGTGCTATGTATTTGGTTCAATGTTTATTATTTATAAATTGCGTGTGTGATTTATTTATTTATTTTTTATTTTTATACTCATACCCAACGCTCATTCAGCCATTCCTACTAAAAAGGTCGTATTTTGTACCTTTAATTGTTGGGCTCAATTCTCT